TCTTCTGGTTTACTGGAAGAATTATCCAAACTCCAACACCACACTTCTTTACCCATCCCACGGGGTAGATTATACGTACCTCTTGCTTATAGGGAAAATGTCTTGTCCTTGATGCACAGTTCGAAAATAGCAGGTCATCCCGGTATCCACAAAACTGAATCACTCCTTGAAAAACTAATTCTGGTGGCCTTCTTACAAAAAGGATATCAGGGACTTCGTTCTGGCCTGTAAAATCTGTTCATCCACTAAAACGCCCGTGTGGCTTTTTCATGCCAATACCCATTTCCGAAAAACCCTGGACTAGTATTGCCATGGATTTTACAGTAGACCTACCTCCTTCCAGAAGCCAATGTGTCATACTAACTATTATCGATAGATTTTCTAAAATGACACATCTTGTTCCTTTAAGTAAATTCTGTCTTCCTCTGAATTGGCTACACTATTTATAAGAGAGGTAGTTCGATCACATGGCATTCTTAATGACATAACTTCGGATAGAGGTCCACAATTTGTCTCTCGGTTCTGGAAGGCATTTTGTAACCAATTAGGTATTCACCTGAATCTTTCTTCTTCATACCATCCTCAATCTAATGGCGTTACCGAAAGGATGAATCAGTCACTTAAACAATATATACACTGTTTTATTTCCGATCATCAAGATGATTGGGTAGAATTACTTCCTTGGGCTGAATTTGCCCACAATAACATGGTTTACGAGTCTACGCAACATAGTTCCTTTTTTATCAATTATGTCTTTGACCCTACTGCTCTTCTGAGTTCCCTTTCTTCCACTGGGGTGCCAAGTGTTGACAGCACTATGAACAGTATTAAGGAGACTTGGTTAGGAGTTAAACAAATATTGGTTCAAAAGGTTAATGTGGATAGACATCGTAGAGCTGCACCTGCTTATGTTGCAGGAGACAAAGTCTGGTTGAGTGCTCGTAATATTAAACTAAAAGTCCCCTTGATGAAATTTGATCCTCATTATATTGGCCCTTTCAAGATACTAAATCGAGTTAATCCAGTCTGTTACAGGTTGCTCTTGCCAGCCTCTATGAAGATACCTAACACCTTTCACGTGTTGCTCCTTAAACCTTTGGTATGTAATCGTTATACTCTAAGTCATTCCAAACCACCTGCGATACTCGTAGAAGGTCGGAACGAATACGAAGTTAAGTCTATTCTGGACTCTCGTGTTTCCAGAGGTAAACTCCAATATCTTCTGGATTGGAAAGGATATTGTCCCGAGGAAAGTTCCTGGGTGGATGCCTCGGATGTCCATGCTCCTCGTCTAGTTCATTCTTTTCACAGACGTAATTTTTGTAGGCCAGGTCCTTCCTGCCCTGTGGGCAGTTCTCGAGGGGGGAATACTGTGACGATACCTTACCTTTTTCACTCGGACCCGCGCAGCATGGCTTCCTCTCCCTGGACTTCTGGGAGGCGGCACAGTCCAGCGCGCCGACATTGGGTCAAATCTGCCACACATATTCAAATGAATTTAAAGTTTAAGAGACACTACACTATAAAAGGGCGCCTTTTACACTTGGTCACCGCCCCATTGTGGTTCTTGTTAGTTCCCTCTAGTGCTCTTAAGATCCTATATTGTAATTTTTGGTATTTTGTCTATTGGCTTTTCCTTCTGACTATTCTACTCTCTGGTATCCTGACTTCGGCTTGTTTATTCTTGTTTGTCTGATTTCCGTACTCCCCTGACTCTCGGCTATTCTTTGACTAACGTCCGGTAATACGTCCCTTTCTAGATTACAGTGTTGGGGACACTATCGTGACATAGGATGTGGTTCTTGACTTTCTCTGCCTAGTCTCATGCTGTTCATTTGTTGAAACTGGGATGATTGTCACTGTACTCAAACTCTCCCACAGTGGGCCCTCCTGGAGTTGGCAGAGTCAAATGGATCACTTCCTGCCCTACCTTAGCTGGATCTTCCCCACCTGAAGACCCATCCTACTATAGGCACCATCTGTCGATCTGGCACATGATAAAGAACTCTTGTAATCTATCCTAGATTGCAAGTCCAATGTTCTCCCTCAGAATCAACCAGGAGTTCCCTGAGGGCAAACACGGTCTTCTTTCCTTTTTCAGGAAAAGGGTTTGTATGTATATAATATGCTCCTACCACCAGTAGGATTAAAACTATAATAAAACACTTAATTTAAAATAAATCCTTGGTGGAAAGAAATTATGAGAAGCTCTCCCAAGAGATATAAAAAATAGTCAGTCTCCTTGAAAACAGTAGTATAAAATATATAATATGTTATCTAAAACAACAAAAATACACAAAGCATAGCATAATACAGTAAAGCATATAAAATGCACTTCTAAAATATTGCACTCACAAAACATAGGAATTAAACCGCACTCCAAGGTGTCTCCCACGATATTTGGGGGCTAATTGGATCAAACCTCCAATCTCTGCAATGCACTTATAGTGGAGACTCCAGTTAGGCAAAAGGTTGTGGCAGTAAGAAACTTTATTCACACAAGATCAAAAATAGTGGTCCGATGCATTTTTCCCAGGACTTTTTCTGAACGAATAAAAGAGAGTTTACCACAAAATATTAAATCATTTGGAAAGCTTATCTAACAATATTAAATCGAGTCCTACATTTGAGAATTATTACCTTTCAGAGGAACATCTTGCAAGCAGGGACGTATTAGCCGCGAGGCAAACAAGGCATTTGCCTTGGGCGGCATTTTTCAGGGGGCGGTAAAAAACACCGCCCCCAAATGCCCAGGATAAATGCCTAGTTAGCCTTGCGGCTAACAGACATGCTGGGCGCTGGGCGGGCGACTGGCGAGGGAGCTCTTCCTCTGAGCGGTCTGCTCAGCTCACTCGCGCACCACAGAGTGAGGCTGGGAGCTGGAATATGACGTCATCAACCTGGCTCCCAGCCTCACTCTGCGGCGCGTGAGGGAGCTGAACAGTCAGCTCAGAGGAGGTGCTCCCTCGCCAGCCGCCCGCACAGCAGCCACTGGACCACCAGGGAGAGAGAGACCCCCCCCAGCTTTCCCAAAGGTAAGGAGGCTGGGGGGGGGGGTTAAATTAAAAAAAATGTGGTGATTGTGTGTGTGTGTGTGTGTCTGACTGTGTGTGTGTGACTGTGTGTGTGTGTTGTGTGACTGTGTGTGTGTTTGTGTGTGACTGTGTGTGTGTGTTTGTGTCTGACTGTGTGTGTGTGTGTTTGTATCTGTGTGTGTGTCTGTCTGTGTGTGTTTGTGTGTGACTGTGTGTGTGTTTGTGTCTGACTGTGTGTGTCTGATTGTGTGTGTGTGTGTGTGTCTGACTGTGTGTGTGTATGTTTGTGTCTGACTATGTGTGTGCGTGTCTGACTGTGTGTGTGTGTGTTTGTGTCTGACTGTGTGTGTGTGTCTGACTGTGTGTGTGTGTTTGTGTCTGACTGTGTGTGTGTGTGTCTGACTGTGTATGTGTGTGTCTGACTGTGTGTGTGTCTGACTGTTTGTGTGTGTGTATTTAGAAGGTGTGGCGGGGGGGAAGGGTTGGGTGGGGGTGGCGCGGGGGGGAAGGGTTGGGTGGGGGTGGCGCGGGGGGTGCCTGAGTTTTTGTCCTGCCTAGGGCAGCACAAAACCAGGATACACCACTGCTTGCAAGGGAAATGTCAACACTGTAAAAGCTTCTAATAACCTCTACCCCTCGCCCTCCACCTAGACTTGTTTCCCTCTGTGAGACTTCCCTTAGTAGATCCTCTCTGATCAACAATGGAACAAATTTCTAATTCTTGCTCATCAGAGCTCTCGTAGCACCAAACTTCAAAAAATAAATTAAAAACTCCTTATCCATTGGTATTGGCTTCCTTGGTTTTTGCATAGAATGTCCAGTGTGACGCTCCATGTGTATTGGAGATGTAATAAGCGGTTCAGTGCTTCAAATTTGGTGGATCGGATAGTTCCCTATTTGGAGGCAACACGTCATATTGCAGGAGGTCTGGGTCTCTCATTTCAACCAGAGTAAATGTTGCATATTTTATCTCCGTTTCTGATCTTCCGATATAAAAAGTCGCTCACAAAGCAGTTACTTAATGCGTTGATGGTTCATGTTCCTCTGTATCGGCGATCAGAGGCTTTGCCCACTCTCCAGTAGTTGAGATCTAAAGTTGAGGAAATTTACAGTATGGAAATACTCACTGCTTCTTTGCAAGATAAGTCTGAGACCTGGACATGGCTGGACTTTAATACATCCCAGTTATGACCATACTTAGGCTTCAATTTAATAATCTTTCTAAATAATTCAATACTCTTGGAAAAATTTCCAAATTATTTATCTACAAAAAAATGCCATAGACTTTAATGGTGACTTCTGTAGATATATCACTTGGAAAGCTTTTTTAACAGTATCAAAGCAATTGGAAAGTTTAAATCAAGGTCTTAATCTATAACTTTAGTTAATACCCCTCGAGATGGGTGTGTGAGTGCTCCTCCCTCTTACTGTTCCCTCAATCCCTCTACCTCTATTTTCCTCTCTATTTTCATTCTGAGTTTCTCTCTTCTCCAACTGAGGCCTCGAATTAATATTGTTGGATACGCTTTTCAAATTATTTAACATTTATGGATAAACTTTTAATATGATTTACTGTTGTGAAAAATATCTTAATTTTTTAAATTTGATATTTTTTTCAACCAACTATAAGGTGATACAGATGTAATCTGTACAATTTCACAATACAGTAAAGAATAAGGTATAACACTGCTGTATGGATACACTCATAAAATATTATGTTTCAGCGCATAAAGGGTGCCTCCCAGAATATAGGGGGCTAATGCCAAAGACCTGCCCAGACAACTCAGCTCTGCTTCAAATAGAGAATTATTTTATTCAAATTAAGCATGTCAACAATCAGTCCAACGTGTTTCTCCTTTAATGAACTTCATCAGGTCGCACAAGCAAAATATATGCAATGATACAGCATTTTAAAAAAAAGCATTAATGCCACCGCACCAGATTCCCATAAAAATAGCACAGTTGCTTCTGTATAATTGGCTCATCAGTTGGTTATGCCTCTTAGATATGCACCAAGCGTGCTCTCCCTTTGTACTCTGCCTTCTTACAGCTGTCATCAATTCCAATTACCTGCTCAGATGTATTCCATTGATCGGATTTGCAATCTAATGTGCATTCCATTAGTTCTTGAGGATTTCCGATAACGTTACCTCATGAAACACTTCCTTGCGTTCCACCATATACAATCATGCAATTATGTTTCTACGAGATGAAAATAGGTTTCAGCAGTAACTAAAGGAAATAGTACTCTATACAATCTACATGAATATACCAATGAAAAACAACATTTACATATAAAGTTATACGGTCCATGAAACATCACACCTCTTTAATCAATGCTCACTACCAAATCCTCTATAGTTAATATTATACAGTGCTATAAATTAATAATAACATCCTACATATCATTATCGTATATAAAGTATTAGTGATCTACACCTACTATAGGCTTAATACTACTTCATAAACTCCATATAAAAAAAAAGATCTATCCTAAGTGCTATAACATGCATTTTAAATATGTATATAGTAATTCCTGCCGTGACTTATATTAATGCAAATACATCTCTATACAAACGTTATAATATCTCTAGATTAACTCGAGAAAAATTATAGAGTCTCTAATAATCCTAAAAATATTTACAAATTATATATAATAGAAGTATAGAGTATATCTTCCTATAATTAACCTAGTAAAAATCTATATAGTATGCTAGAAAAGGCTATATGAACTTAACATGTATAGCTTGGAGGAAAGACGAGACAGGGGGGAATATGATAGAAACATTTAAAGGGACACTATAGTCACCTGAACAACTTTAGCTTAATGAAGCAGTTTTGGTGTATAGATCATGCCCCTGCAGCCTCACTGCTCAATCCTCTGCCATTTAGGAGATAAATCCCTTTGTTTATAAACCCTAGTCACACCTCCCTGCATGTGACTTGCACAGCCTTCCACAAATACTTCCTGTAAAGAGAGCCCTATTTAGGCTTTCTTTATTGCAAGTTCTGTTTAATTAAGATTTTCTTATCCCCTGCTATGTTAATAGCTTGCTACACCCTGCAAGAGCCTCCTGTATGTGATTAAAGTTCAATTTAGAGATTGAGATACAATTATTTAAGGTAAATTACATCTGTTTGAAAGTGAAACCAGTTTTTTTTTCATGCAGGCTCTGTCAATCATAGCCAGGGGAGGTGTGGCTAGGGCTGCATAAACAGAAACAAAGTGATTTAACTCCTAAATGACAGTGAATTGAGCAGTGAAATTGCAGGGGAATGATCTATACACTAAAACTGCTTTATTTAGCTAAAGTAATTTAGGTGACTATAGTGTTCCTTTAAATACATAAAGGGAATCAACAAAGTAAAGGAGGAGACTATATTTAAAAGAAGAAAAACTACCACAACAAGAGGACATAGTCTTAAATTAGAGGGGCAAAGGTTTAAAAATAAAATCAGGAAGTATTACTTTACTGAGAAGGTAGTGGATGCATGGAATAGCCTTCCGGCTGAAGTGGTAGAGGTTAACACAGTAAAGGAGTTTAAGCATGCGTGGGATAGGCATAAGGCTATCCTAGCTATAAGATAAGGCCAGGGACTAATTAAAGTATTTAGAAAATTGGGCAGACTAGATGGGCCGAATGGTTCTTATCTGCCGTCACAGTCTATGTGTCTATGTTTCTCTAAGCATTATCTATGTGCAGTGTTGTACCTGAAATTGTACCCGAAATCATAATTATCATTGATACTCTAAAGTGAAGTTACAAATGAGGCAACAAATCTGTGAAACTCACTTTTTCAAGATCACTTTTAGAGGCTCTACACTAAAGGTCCTGACAATGACACTAGGGGTGTGGAGATATGCAGGAGTTGCCTAGATGTACTAATACTCAGCTGAAAATATTAAACACGCCCATCAATCCCGACTGAATAAAAACAGGTCTTACTAACATGGCCACAGGAAAGGCTCCAGGCTCTGTTGGATTTAGTTTAGAATATCTCAAAACATTGAAGAGACACCTTCTGGAGCCTTTGACTACTCTGTTTAATGTCACTTACCTCAACATCTGTCCCTAGAAGGAATAGTGGAGGCTAGAAACATCCTAAGCCTCAAACTTAAAAAACCTCTTAGTCACATAGCAGCAAAATTTACCACATATTATACATCCACAACAACTAGGCTTTGTCCGAAGGAGACAAGCTATCCAGTGGATCAGAATGGCAATAGCGACAATAGCATCCACCCAACACACAACAGATTCCCCTTAGCCTTGACATGCAAATAGCCTTTGATTTGGTTGCCTGGCTACACCTCATTCGGGTCCTTAAATTCTGGTGCTCTCTTGGATACACACAGATTGTATGGCCAATTAGTGGCATTTGATATCAACCATTCCAAATCCTCTGCTTTACCGCCTGGTACTTAACTCATGAGACTCAAAACCCTCATCTTTTTACAATGGCAATTGGATCACATTAAATATCTAGGTCAGGCTACCCAAACTCCGACCCTCCAGATGTTGCTGAACTACAACTCCCATGATTCTATGAATAAAATAGATAGGCTGAGAATCATGGGAGTAGTAGTTCAGCAACATCTGGAGGGCCGGAGTTTGGGGATGCCTGATCTAAGGGGTTCTATTGCCTAAAGTAATCATCTCTCTATATATTTTTAATATTTCTAAAACTCTCTCAAATGTCAAAATTCTACTAAATAATTAGTCACACTTATCAGTTTCATTCATGGGCAGAGCCTCCTTAATAAAAAGCCTGGCTCTTATATTCTTTGCAAATGTTACCCATAATACTGTCCACCAAGCACCATAAACAACTGAACTCTAAATTTCTTCCTTTCTATGGGCCGCTCATAAAAACTAGAATCTCTATAGAACATTTACTACAGCCAAAATTTAACCTAGGATTAAGCTTCCCTAATATTTAAAACATGAACTTGGCAGCCAGATATCTCTATGCTCTGGAAGGGGTTTCAAGCAGGCCCTGGACCAGAACATGGACTCTAACATACAACTATCTCAGCTCTTACACACCCCATACTCAGATCTATTCTCATATATTCTACAAAAAATTGAAATATTCCCATAATAGCTATTTCTAAAAATATCTCAGTTTTCAAAATGGAGAATCCTCTCTCCCCTTGACATCTTGGTTGAGGGTGGAGCTGACCAGGATTGTGGACTGTATGCAGGCTTATGGTGCAGCATTCTGCAAAACATTTATTTTATGCAAAAACTATAAAGATCTGAGCATGCAAAAAATACAGCATATTAATGAGACCAAAATCTATCAAATGTCTAAAGTTGTATTGGTGCCTGGAGTGTCCCCTTAATGAAAGCTATATTTTTCTCTCGCCTTTAGAATGGACTGGATTAAATCAAAGTCACACAAAGATGACCTGGCAAACCAGACATGGCAAGTCTACACCAATACATTTGTGATGAGCACAAAGGATACTTTGAACAAACTAATCGCTAAAACTAATTGCTATCTGCAGAGAGTTATAGAGGGCAAACCACCTATTACATAATGACATGCACTTCTTATTCTATAAGAACAAGCCTGGGGGAGGGGAGTGACAGAGGGAGTTCACGGAACAATTAATTTCTTAAACGGAGGCATTGTTGTCAACTTTATATTTTATGTCAAAGACTACTGATGCGTACAATGTCATAAGCTATGTATTGCATTTTACTGCATAAATAAAAACATTTTTATAAAGTAATAAAATTACTAGATTTTGGAAAACTCCAGCTTTGCTACAAACTGCCTGGTTCCTATATTTTCAGTTAACTCTAAAACCCTGTGGCCACATAAGGGCCCCTTTCCACATACTTAAGGGTGGACAGCATTTGTAAATCACAATAGCCATGACCCACAGGAATTATCATTTTGTGACTTGTTCTAATATTATGGGCCTTGAAGAAGTCCCGTGTTGGGGATGAAACGCGTAGGACCTACTATTGTTTTATTTTTTAAACATTCTGTGTTTATTGGATTTTCAGGTTTTCGTAGTAAAAAAAAAAGGCGTACATTACATAGACATTTGATACGCATAGGTTAACAGACAGAGACATTTGATACGCATGGTTTAACAGTACACATACAGGTGTAGGTACAGCTCCACCGAACCTATCGCTTTATTGCTGTGGTTGTTTGTCATCAGATTGGTGTTGTCATTCATTGGGGGTTTCCTCTGGGATGGTTATGTGCTATGTTCAGTGGGTGTGTTACTCGCTCTCTGTCTTGTGGTCGTTTTTGTATCTGTGTTGGTGAGCATGGTTCTTTTAGTCACTGCCCGTCTGTTTGGCTGCGTCATATTATATCTGAGCTTGATGTACAAGGTAACATAAAATATTGTAACTCAAAAAATAACACATATACTGAAGTATAAATACAAATACAGTTGGATCAATTCCTTGGGCCCAGGGGTGGAGTTGTGGTTCTATTTAATGTGTTAAGGGTTCCCTTTTGGTATTTCAGTTCCCTGCGTGGGCGTGTTTTGGGTCAGTTTGTTGCAGGCCCTGCGTGCTCCTTGGGTGTGATCTTGTGTGTTGAGCCTGTTAATGGGTTGCCCGGTCAAGCTCCTTTGTGGGCCATCTGCCTCAATCTGTGCCAGGGATCCCCTCCTGTCCCAAAGGCTGAGGTCCACCCTCCCTCGTGGCGTGGGTGTGGGGTCCTATTGTGTGGCCTGGTGTTTGGGGGTTGTTTGTTTTTTTTTGCTTTGGGGTCTCATGCTTGGGAGGGTTCGTTCAGCCACGGGTCCCAAATTTTATAGAAGTGGTGTGATGTTTCGTGGATCTTGGCTGAGAGCCTATCCATCTCTATGGCCTCCCTGGTTTTGCGTATGACTATAGCTAATGTGGGTATATTGGGGGTGCCCCAGAGTTCTGCTATTGCTCGTCTAGTTGCTAAGGCCAGTCTGTTCATGAGTTTGTTTTGTGCTCTAGTCAGGGGTTTCCATGGCCAGGACAGGAGCCAGATCCAGGGGTCTAGGGGTATGTCTGCATGGAGACGGTTGGAGATCAGGTGTGCTACTTCTGTCCATAGTGGTGTCAGCTTGAGGCATTGCCACCAAAGGTGTATATATGTGCCCCTATGTCCACACTGTTTCCAGCCGTGTAGGCGTTAGGTACCATCTCAGCATGGTTTTGTAGGC